AGAAGACTTTAGGGTTAGCATTTGCTCAGGAGCATGAGACCACAAGGAATTGTGGGAACTGGCAGGAGGATGAGAGACTGGAAGACCACGGGGTCTGAGCTGGCTAGAAAAGGAGGTCAAGGCTGTGGAAGCCTGATGGTGTACAGAGAGGAAGTAGAGGGGCCATGTGATGGGTTCCATGATTCCTGCACACAAAGGAACCCAGGCAGCTCTGAGCTCTGAGTGCCTGAACAGACACTGTGGTTGATAAGTAACATGTGAGACCATCTGTAGTCCCCACGATGAGGCTGAGAAGTGCACAGTGTGGTCTCTGCTCCCTAGGTGAGAGGACCAAGGCTTAGAGAGGTACAGGAGCTTGTCTTTGAGTATTGAGGCACTACAGGGAAGAACAAAGTTGGCATTATTCTTTATGTGATTGCAACTATCCCCTTAGTTCCTAGTTTTAAGAGATTAACACTCCAACATATGGCTCCTGAATGTACATGTACATAAAGAATTGAAAAGTGGCAAGTGGTAGGGAAGTGGCAACTGATAGGAAATAACATATGCCAAACACAAAAGTGGAGGCATAATTTGTAAACTCGTGGTACCTCTCCTGTGTAATAATCTATAGGATTGTGACTTGAAAACGTCGTACCACTATTATTTTAATTTCGAAAAGTGTACCTGCTGATTGTCTAACGTGCAAGTATTACAGAAGTGTGGAAAATAAATTGTGCAAATGTCCCATTCAACTCTTGCCTGCAATTCAGAACTGCTAAATGCCAGTTGTTGAGAAATTTCCTACCGAAATGACCGTAACCTGAGATTCTGTGCTGCTGCTGTTTGCTTAGAAGTGAAAACAAGTGGCTAAACCCATTCAAGAACATGGACATGGAGCACCCGGTGTAAGCTCTCTGAGGAATGAGCTGGGCAGATGGACTGAATCTTCCCTCCCCCTGCACATGCTAACCTGAGACTCCTCCTCGCATAGTGCACCTTCAGGAAAGGGATGGGTCGGGACGGTGGATGGAAGCCCCTGTTGTGCCAGGTAACATGCCCGCTTCTGTTGGGCTCCAGGTTGAGCATCTGACAGAGTCCCACTGTCTCTCATGGCCAAGGCCCATCTCTGGAAGGAGCGTGTGCCCTTTCTCATCAGGATTTACTGACAAATTACCTATGAATGCAAGCCTGATTGATGTATCTCCTACAACCAGCCAGGAATGAACAGGGATGCAGGGTCTTTCAGTCCTGGCCCTGCTGGCTTATGGTTGGGGCAGGGGAAGAGCAATCCAGGACATGCAGTGTACAATGTGTAACATCACTCTTTATTATGAAAATAAATGGTGATCATGAGTGGGGCGAATACACAGAACAACTGGTTCTTCGAGTGGTTATGTTACCTCGCCTGCAAGTTAACTTTGGCTTTCTGGTGAGCCAGGCCGCCAACCCCAGTCCTGGGCATGGCCTTAGTTAGGCTGGTAAAAAGAGGAAACAAAGAGGATGTGAATGAAGACAAAGAAGACATCAAAGGGCTCCTTTTAGGGGATTTGCTTGAAGGCCTCCACTGGGATCTTGCTCTCGGTCTAGAGGAACTAAAGAAAAGGAGTTGGGACGTCCAAAGAGCCAGATGCCCTGGGTTCCATACCCAGACCACCTGGCCTCAATTTTCTGGCCTTTCTGAAATACAGGAAACATCCACGTTTTACCCACTTGATTCCCAGATCTCACCTGGAGCATAGTGAAAACCTGGTCAGCTTTGGTGTAGTTCTACTCACTGTCCTGAAGGCACCTGGGGTGGGAGAAGAACAGGTGATCTTCAACACACTGACTATGCAATGCCACTCCTTCATCTATGCTACTTTTTGCTGGGACACATGTACCAATATGAGCACTATTGTAACAATGAATAAAGGCCTAGGGAAAACCAAAATGCCTGTTGCTGACATTCTTGCCCACTAGAATACAAAGCAGAAAAATCGGGTTGTTCAAATGAACAAGGGCTTAATACATATTGACAAAAAAAAGATGTTCAATAACGAATAGAAATTCAAAACTAAAAATTATCCTCCAATTTTAAAATTGTGGTATAAGACAGGATTCACCATTTTAAGGTGTACAATTCAGTGATTTTTCTGGTATATTTACAAGATTGTGTAACCATTACAATTTCATCTACCCAAAACATTTCCACCACCTTAAAAAAAATACTCCTTACCTGTTAGCAGTCACTCCTCATTCCCCTTTTTGCCCAGACCCTGGTTACCATTCATCTGTTTTCTGTCTCTATGGATTTGCCTATTTGGGGCATTTTATATAAACGACCTCATACAATATGTAGTCTTTTGTGATTGACTGTTTTCACTTAGCATAATATTTTCGAGGGTCATCCATGTTATAGCATGTATCACAACTTCATTCTATTTTATTGCCAAGTAATATTTCATTATGTAGTTATATCACATTTATCTTCATAAATTGATGAATATTTGGATTGTTTCCACTTTTTGACTATTATGAATAATGCTGCAATAAACATTCATTTTCAAGTTTTTGTGTGAACACAAGTTTTCATCACTCTTTGTGTAATTGCTGTGTCATATAGTAATTCCATATTTACCATTTTGAAGAACTGCTAAACTATTTTCCATAGTGGCTGCATCATTTTCCATTCTTACCAGCAATGTATGAGGGTTCCAATTTATCCATAGCTTTGTCAACATTAAAAAAATTTTTTAATTGACATAATAATTATACATATTTATGGGGTACATAATGATGCTTTGATACATGCAATGTACAGTGAGCAGATGAATGTAACTAGCATATCCATCATCTTAAATATTTACCTTTGTGTTGGGAACATTTAATATCCTCCTTCTAGCTATTTGAAACTACATATTATTGTTAGCGATAGTCATCCTACAATGTTGTCAAACACTAGAACTTATTCCTCCTATGTAACTGTAATTTTGTATCTTTTAACACAGCTCTCCCTATTGCTTTCCTCCTATCAACACTTGTTATTTCAGTTTCAAAAAATGGTAGCCATCTTGCTGTGTGTGAAGTGATACCTCAGTGTGGTTTAGATTTTAACTGGGTTATTTTCATTTTTATGGTTGAGTTCCAAGAGTTCTTTATATATTGTGAATACAAGTCCCTTATCAGATATATAATAATGCACATATTTTCTCTGATTCTTGGGTTGTCTTTTCACTTTATTGATAGTGCCTTTTGATGCAAAACGAGTTTTAAATTTTGAAAAGTCCACTTTATCTAATTTTGTGTGTGTATGTGTGTTTTGTTATATGCCAGAAACCATTGTCTAATTCAAGGTCACAAAGATTCACTCTTTTGTTTCCTTCTAAGATTTCTATAGTTTTAGCTCTAACTTTTAGGCCTTTGGCTATTCTGATTTATTATTGTATATGGCATATGACGGGGTACAAATTCATTGTTTGTGAGTGGATATCCAGTTGTGCCTGCACCAGTTGTTGAAAAGGCTATTCTTTCTTTACCCATTGACTTTTTTTCTTGGCGCTCTGGTAGAAAAACAATTGACCATAAAGGTAAGGATTCTGGTTTATTTTGGACTCTCATTTTATTACATTGATCTATACGTCTATTCTTAGGTCTGTATCACTCAGTATGGATTGATTACTGTAGCTTTGTAGTAAGACTACAGTAACTTTGTAGTGGGTCCTCCAACTTTGTTCTTTTTCAAAATTATTTTTTATTCTGCATTCATTGTATTTTCATTTAAATGTTAGGGTTAACCTCTTAATTTCTACAAAGAAGCTAGCTGAGATTTTGATATGGATTGCATTTGCATTGAATCTATATATAAATTTGGGGAGTATTGACATTTTAACAATATTAATTCTTCCAATCCAGGGACATGGGATATCATCCCATTTATTTAGGTCTTCCTTAATTTCTTTCTATAATGTATTGTAGATTTCGAAGTAAATGTTTTGGATTTTTTTGTTGTTAAATTTGTTCCTATGTTATTTTTATGCTTTTGTACGTGGAACTGTTTTCTTAATTGTATTTGCTTATTGTTCATTACAGGTATATAATAATACAATTGGTTTTTGTATATTAATTTTGTATCCTGAAACAATGCAGAACTTGTTTATTAATTTTAACGGGTTTTTAAGTGGTTTCCATAGGATTTTATATATACAAGATCATGTCATGTGATCTGAACTCTATATTGTTTAAAAATTAATTTCATTATCACAATTAATGTATATACTTTAGGAGCCCACTCATTTTTGGAAACACAACATCTAAATAGTTATTTTTACAAATTAACTGAAAGTTTCCGTTTTTCACTCCCCACTCTTCCCAGCTCACATCTATCCTGAAAGACTCCCAGCACTCACTTCTGAGACTGCTCAAGTTTCATCCCAGACTCGATGGAGACAGTCTCCACCATTTCCTGCTGCTCCTGGGAGAGGGTAGGCAAGGAGTTGGAGGAAGGTGCAGGCACTGGGATGGAGAAGGCACTCTGGGTCTCCTTCATGCTGGCATTCCTCACAATCAGCTTGTCATTCACAATATACAGACTGAAGGAAATATAAGCTCTCAGACAACTGGAAAAATGGACAACCCCACACTTTCAACAATAATCCTACTTCCACTGCCACTGAGGAACCAGATTCCTTCCAAGCCGCTACTCTGCCCACCTTTCAGATTCCTTGGCTGGTAGGCTTTACCCCTGCTGCAGAGTCAACCTTTGGAGAGATTGTCTACCAGTTTCCTTAGATTTGTAGATTTAACCCCAATGCATTTACACTTTACAAAAGAAGTAGACATCCCATTTTCAGAAAAGGACTGTTTCACAGAGAAATCTTATAACTGGACAAAAAGATACACAGCTAATTAGTAAGTATTGTGGCCAAGAAGAGAATCTGGTATTCTCATAATCTAGACCTCTCCTTGGATCTACCAGTTGGCTTTCCATGGTACTGAGAACATCCTGAGGACTGCACCACCACATTACCACACCACTGGCTCCAGGACAGGATGGGTACTCCCACCCACAACACAGCACTTACTTGGAATTGCTGAAAGAAGTCAAGATGAAAGTTCGGGTGAAGGCAAGAACAGAACCTGGAGACTCTCCTTCCACTTTAAAAACAACAAACAATGATACCTCCTTACAGTTGCATATGCTTTACAAATTCATACAGGGTTCTCCAGTCAGGGAGATAATCTTTTTGCACCCTGAAGGGAGCCAGGCTGGGACAACTTTTCATTGAGAGTCAGGAGGGGGTTTCAGGGACTGAGAGGGCAACAATAGGAACAATTAGCTCCCAGGGATAGAACCCCATAACATGTGTCAGGTCTCTTGACAAACATAAGTTCGCTTGATTCATTTTACACGGTTGCCCAGGAGATGAGCTTACCAACCCCATTTTGCAAATGAGGAAACTGAGGGGTTAGGTAACAGGACAATGTTCCAAGTTCACAAAGTAACAACCTGGGATGAGAACCATCAAACTCTACAGACTGTGTCCCTAACACCTGAGCGGTGCAGGTGCAGACAGGTATGGATGTAGGTCAGGAAGTAATGATGTTTGGGAACAAAATTGGGGGAGAGGAAGAACACAAAGGGAAGGGAACAAAAAGGAAAGAACACAAAGATAACAGAAAGTTGCCAGGAGAGGAAGAACACAAATGGAGAGGAAGAATGCAAGGGGAGGGGAGAAGAGCAACCTGGGAAGCTGAGAGCGTTATTGGAGTAAGCCCAGCCTGGGGAAGGGAGTAATGAGTGATGTGGAGAGAAGACTCTATAGACACTCACCTTCCTTAAATACTCCATTGACAGAAAAGAAGAGCATCCTTTCCTGAAAGGGAAGAAGAAAAAACTAGAGCCTTCATGATCCTCCTACCCACCTACCTACTTCCTACCTACTCCAGCTCTCTGGGCCTGACTGAGGGAGGAAGCAGGTGCTCACCGTCTGGATGCACAAATCTACCACATAGGAGTTAAGGTCATGCTGAGTTCTGGGCAATACACTGAGGGAGTCCACAATCTCACGTTTTGTGTGCTTCAGCAACTGAACCCTCAGGCCTGTGTGAGAAAGAGAAGCATTGAGGGCTGCCACACCCTATACCCTGTACCCTATTATTGACTTTCCACCCCATTTCCCATGCTGATCTTCCCCCATCACACACTCACGAGGGTCCTTGATATTCTTTATATTCCTGCTATCCTTGAAGTATTTTTCCAAGCTGCTCCTAGGAGAAGAGGAGGAACAGGAGTGAGTGGTCTGGGTAGTGCAGACATTTCCAGGAACTGGCCTTTTCGGGGGAGCCACATGGCCCCAGACCAGAGTCAGAGCTGTGACACTCACGGTTCTGGGTCCTCAGGGTTGAGGGTAATGGTCAGGGAGAAGCAGGCCTTGTCATGGTAAACACTGAGGAGACCCTTTCGATCTTCAGAGTCATAGATCAAGTAATACCTGTGAAAGAGCAGTGGGGATAGGCTATCTCTGTGGCCTGGGCCCCCAAATGAAACTTGAAGACTTCCTAAATCCATGAATAGACATTTTCTTGGGTGGCCTGTCTTGTCTCAGCCTTCCACTGCCTTAGGATTCTGGGGTACTTACTGAAGCAGGAACTGAAGTACCAGACTCTTTATGGTCTCAGATCCTTTATAGCTTTCCTGGAATCAAAAGACATCTTGAAACTATGTGGTTTAAAAAACGTCCCTTACAATATCTCAAATCTGGTCCCTCCTTACCTTACAAGGTTTTAGTATCTCAGGGGCTTCAATGCCAATAATAATTGGAGATCCTAACTCCTGGCCATCCTGAGCAAGGAAAGAGGCAGTCAGCAGTGCATACCAGGGAGGTAGAGTTGGATGAGCAAGGAGATGAACAGGCCCGGAGGGAAAAAGGGTTAGAGGTGAGGCGTGAAATTGCCCCCTCAAAATTCTATCAGCAAGACAACAGTTGGAGTCTTCAACAGTGGGTCTTGGAAGCATCTGTATTATTAGATGCAACTTTTGTGTGAATTAGTGAGTGTGAGTGCCTGTGTGTATTCAAGGACATTTTATTCCAGGGAGAATATTCTTGTCTTTTTCAGGAATCTATGCCTCTAAAGTGGATGAGGGTTGGATACAAACATGTAATCTAGGCAAGAGTCAAAGGACTTGAGGGCAGGCATGGAGGTCATGTACTTGAGTAAGAGGAGACAATGATGACAGTGAATACTTACCAGGCGTAACAACTTGGGGAAATATTCCCGGATGGTACTGTCCATAACAAAAAATAGAATGAAGTGATTGACAATTCAGAGTTGCACAGCCTCTCTCCCTCTCCCTCTCCCTTTCCCTCCCCCTCCGCCTCCCCCTCTGACTCTCCTCCCTCTCCTTCCTCCTGGTTAGCTTCCACCTAGACTGCCCCGACTCTCTTCTCCAGTGCCACAAGAAGCAGCATTGGGAGCTCCAGGGTTTCATCCCCCTCCCTCCCTCCCCTTTGTCCAAATCCCGACAGAAGGCTCCGCAGGGAGCAGGAAATGGAGTGGGAGCGCAGGGCTCTGCTACCCCACTGGCTGTCCATCAATCTGCCTGGCCTGGCCCTGGCCAAGACCAGGTCAGCCCTTAGGGATGCCCAGGATGCTGGGATAGGTAGCTGAGTGAGGCTGGGCTCAGGAGACAGGAAGGGTAAGGCAGGGGGATGACAACAGAAATGGGGTGAAGGCAGGGGAGGGAGAGACAGGTGAGACGTAGGAGAGGAGAGACAAGGGAGAAACAGGATGCAAAGTAAAGGGAAGGGAAAGATGCTCTACTGTGGAGGTGGAGTTCAGGGAGGTATAGAGGAGAAAAGGGCTCCCCTGCTGCAGCCCTTTCCCTCATTGCCCCCAGCTGACCCTGGGGACCGAGGCAGGAAAGGAAAACATGCACCTGTTGGGCTGGGGCCCACTGGGTGCAGCTGGAGCCTTTCTCACCTGTGTGAGCTCAGTCTGAGCTGCGCATGGGAAACAGAGCAGCCACGGGGACAGGAGACCTTCTCCCAGGAGGAGTGAAGGGTCAGGCCCCAGCTCAGCATGGGGTTCAGAGTCTGGGGACCCACTCTCCCAACCACTGCATTCTCTTCTGATGGTCCCTGACTCCTGTGCCCCTCTGTGCTGGCACCTTGACTGAGAAATGCTACCTGTCTCAGGCTACCCAGGGCTCCTCTGAGGGCCCAGGCAGGACGATGTGAAGTGTGGAGGGAAGGAGGGGCAGTGCCCTGAGAGGTCTGTCCTTCTGTCTCCTCAACCTCCTCGGCCCTCTGCCTTCCACTTCTGCCTCAGGAACGTGGCCCGCTTCTGGTCCCTTGACTCAGGAAACCCAGGTTTCTCCTCAAGGAGGGCCCAGTTCCTGGCATTGGGCCAGAGGAAGAGATGACATGACAGCAGCCACCCAGGGCCTCGGCCCTCAGTATGAAGCAGGGAAGCCCCAATGTCAGCCCAGGACAGGTGGGGGGACATTTTTGGAGCAAGAGGAGAACCCCTCTTGGGACAGGGGAGGGAAGCCCCATCTCAGCATGGAGGCAGGAAGGCCTGTCTCAGCATGAGGCCCTGGACTAAAGGAGTCTTCTCGGTCCAGGGCACCAGCATCTCAATACTGCTGGTCCTGGGGAGGTGGGAGAGCCCCGCTTCCTGGAGCACACTTACGGAGGGCACGCTGGGGGAAACACACCCCAGAGCAGGTGAAAAGGGGAGCATGTCAGAGGAAGGAAAGGAGACCTCTAAGCACAGATGAGTGAGTAACACAGAGAGAGGGGAGAGAGAGAGAGTAGGAGGGGAGGTCTGTGGTTCTCCCAGAGGACCAAGGCCGCTCCTTCCCGCAGAAGGGCACTTTCAGACACAGCTCAGTCACCCAGGTAGCAAAGGTGCCCAGGAAGGGCGACAGGGGTTGCCACTGACCTTACATAGGCGGACTGGTCCGAGAAGGTGCTGCACAAGGGGTTCCCTTCTAGCCATAGCTCTTCGAGCTTAAGCCCTTTCACCTTGCCCAACTCCCATGCTGACTTCAGCTAAGAAAGATGGGGAGGAAACTGGAGAAGGAGGGCCAGGGAAAGAGAGACACCTGGGACCGTGGGTCCCGAATTCCCCCAGCTCTCACAGTCACCCACAGGTACCTCTGCCTGCTTGTTGCCATTATCCTGGTGTGTACTGCCATCCACCCTCCATCCAAAGTTGTTCTGGCTCCCCCTTCTCACCTTATTTTTGGAGAGGTTCAGGGTCTTGACTTTGGGAGCCTTCTCTATAATGTCAGGCAGGCCATCTAGCTGGTGCAGTTTGTTGTCACACAAGTTCAAAGATAATAGCTATTGGGTAAGAACAGTTAGAGTGATGGATACTATCTCGAGGCTTGGAGACAAATCTGCCTTTCACCCCATCTCTTCCACCCCTCTAATTAAATACTAGCACTGGGCCTAAGGCTTCACCTCAGGGAAATTCCTTTCAATGATCTTCAGAGTGGCAGCCATGCAGTTTCTTCGATTCAGGATTATATCAATATGATGTTTCACCAAGTCTCCAGGAAGCCAAGAGAAGGGAAGCAGAAGGCTTTGAGGGGCCTGACTGGATCAGCACCAGCACCAACCCCTCCCAAAGTTGCCATCCATATAAATCTCCCTCCCAGGCGGACTGTTCTTCCCCTACTTGCCCTAGAATTGCTGCTGTCAGCCATACCTGGGTCAAAGCGGAGCCTCTGGAGATCAAGAGCTTGCTGGGAGACATCATATCGTTTGTTCAGGGTCAACTGCAGAGACAGAGACGAAGAAAGCAGCTCTGAGGCTCTGGTGGTGTGGTGGTCATGACAGGGAAATATAGGTGCAGGGGAAGAAGAGGTGCCTTGAGTATGTATTACCTGTAGCTGTGCCATCTCTTTTGGTTTCAACATTTTCTGCATAGACTGGGGTTTAGTAGAAAGATTGACAAAAACAAACACCTGCAAGAAGGCAAGGCAAGGTAAGCACCAGGACCTCTAATCTCAAAAAGACAAAGACTAGCCCCTGGCCTGTCCTCCTTCCCAGAGACTACATATAGGGAGTGTTGTTGACATATACCTTTTGGTTTTTCTCATCATGAATCTTGCAGTTGACTTTCTTTAATGCACAGGCAGCACTAACATCCTGAACAAAGAAGTGGGCCTGATTTTTGTTGTAGTGGAACTACAGGGAATAAAGGCAAGAGCAATAGTGTCAGAGGTCATTGGCTCCTGCTGAGTCAGGCGTCTCCCCCTCCCTTGTGCCCACTCATCTGGCTTCACCATCTTCTCTTACAGCGACTGGAGTGAAGGGGACATTGCAATGGCTCTGGATTGAATTCACTATCCAAGTCTTATCATACTTTATCCCATAGGGAATCTAATGGTGAGAAGAAGGGATAGGATAGAAGAGAGACAACATGGAATTAAGTCTGGAAAATAATCCAACTAAGTGTTTTATTCTAACCTTCTAATGGAGCTTTAAAAGACTTCTAAGATAGGGACCATTAACATGATTTCAACCTTTTTTTTTTTTTTGCCAGACATGGATTTCCTAGTTGTCCTTTTCTCTCTATTCCAAATGTACCTCCCAGATAATAAAATTCAGATGTTCTAAATGATCCTTTTTTTTTTTTTTTTTTTAAGGTGCTAGGAGATTCTACCTATGGAAGATCCAGCCTGCACCTCTGACAAGAACTCCAGAAACTCAACACTGCTGCACTTAGCTTGAGCCATGAGGCATCTTGTGGAGAGCTGCTCCATCTTCTTGGCAGTAGTTTCCACCTTTGCATTTAGACAACCTCTTGTGTCCTCTTGCAGTCAGCCTGTTCCCTTTACATTGTTTTTCTGAACCTGTGCTTAGATGTTAACTGCCCCCGTCCTCAGAAAAATATCTAGTATTTCTACGTGTGATTAACACAACTCTCCCTGACCCACCTTTCCTGCACAGCTTTTGCATTTTCTCAGGACACTCACTGTGACCTTGAACCAGGTCCCCAGGTCTCCATTCTGTGTGTTCTTCTCCACTTCTCTCTCTGGAGGAATTCTATCTTGGTATTCACTACGGCATTCCACACTCCTACTATTGGGTTGTAAGGTAGAGGGGTTGCTGTAGGGAAATGGATAAAAATATATGTCTATAAATGTATAGAAATGCATAGAAATGTGACACAGTTTTTCATACACCCTCAACTCACTTAAAACCAGGTCTGCAATTAGGATTTCTCAGCCATTACTTCACTTTCTAGCATTCTTCAGTTTTTCAAGGAGAGGAAAAATAAAACTACAGAGAGTGAAAGAATTACAAAGTCCCAGGGGCTGCTATGTGCAAACCAGCCTGCCTGGTCACTTACTTTCTTATTTGGGGGTCCTCGTGGATATCCCCCACCTCTACATTTTCATCTTCCTTCTGAAGGTGGGGAGGTGGGAGCTCATACCCATCATGTTCATCATGAAAGTTCTCCTTTCCAAAATTCCCCTGGGAAGAATCTCCACCTTTATTTTCTCCTTGAGGAGAGCTGCTACCATCACTCTGTTCTGAAATTAGGAACAAAAATAAAAGTTCGAAGACAAATCAGTGGTCATATACCATGTACCATTTCTTGGCCTAACATAATAGTAAGGCAAGCAAAGTGCCAACCTGCCCTAATAGAGCAGTCACACAAACCCCAGAAAGCAAACTCCTCTACCTGTCCAGATAGGAGAGCCTTTTCTCACAAATGACATAATTAGGGAAGAGATCTTAAAGGAGGAGGTAACCGTGTGGAACTATTTGGAAAATGGAGCATGATTTATAGAGAACAGAGTGTGAATGTTCATGGATTAGAGTGGACATCAACCAAACCCCAGGAAGGATCCAAATGTTGCCTTCTGTTATGCCATTGTAGTCTAACAACCTCACCAAAACCTGATAGGCAACCTCTCTCACACTTCCCAAATGCAATCAGCCACCAAATTGATTTTATTAACAATCAGCAAGCTGTACTGTCTTTTCTAGTGCAAGCTTTCATGACAGGATGGATTGATGCATCATCCTGCTAAACTGTCTCTCTGCCTCCAGCCTTGACCTCAACAATACTCTTCTGGAAATACACAGAGTGAGCTTTCTTTTTGCTGAGCCTAAAATGCCTTTCAGCTGAGAAGACAATGCTTCTAACCTCCACTCTTCTATAACAAGGAGCTGAACAATGATCAGAAATGGTGTCAACTATAGTTTCCAAGTGTTTAGCGATTTTTCTGTCATCAGAGAGAATACTCTGTATGACTTTCATTCTTTTAAATTTATTGAGGTTTGTTTGATGGCCCAGGACATGGGCTATGTCTGTGAACATGGTCTATCATGAATGTTACAAGACATGTGGAAAAATAGTGTACTCTGCTGTTGTTGGGTAAAATGTTCTATATATGTCATGTAGATCTGGTTATTGTATTGATTATACTATTCAGATCTTCTATAACCTTGTAGATTTTCTATATAGTAATTCTATCAATTGCTAAGAGTGGGATGTTGAATGCCCCAGTGATAACTGTGGACTTGGCTATTTCAGCTCCATCAGTTTTTCTTTCATGTATTTTGAGCCTCTGCTGTTTGGGTGTGTACACAAGTAGGATCATTCTGTCTTCCTGGTGGATTGATCCTTTTATCATTATGTAATATTCTTTTTGTTTCTATTGGTTTTCTTTGCTAGCAAGTCTACTTTATCAAATAATTGTGGACTCAGGAATGCTTATAAAGTGTTTCAGTTATATTTCACACTGTATTTACTCCTAGGAATTTCCTTGTTCACCCTCCGTATTCCCCACCAACATGTTCAATTCACCATGTGGCAAGATTTGGAAGTTTAATTTACATCTACAAGATAGTATCAATTATCTTTCCCATAAGCGTATTCACAAAGGATATTTTATTTTTATCACATTCAACTGAAACAACAGTAATGCTAGTGGTTTTGGAGGTGGGGATTAAGGAAATTAGACTATGTGAAGCCAACTTCCTTTTAGCATCTAAATTTAAGATTCTCTAGGTTTGTATTTTATTTTTTATATATATATATATACACATATATATATATATATATATATATTTTTTTTGAGACAGGGTCTCACACTGTCACCTAGGCTGGAGTGCAGAGGCATGACCTTGGCTCACTACAACCTCCACCCCCTGAGCTCCACTGAATCCTCCCACCTCAGCTTCCCAAGTAGCTGGGACCACAGGTGCACACCACCATGCTAGGCTTTTTTTTTTTTTTAAATTTTTGGTAAACATGGGGTCTCACCATGTTGCCCAGGCTGGTTTCAAACTCCTGAGCTCAAGAAATTTGCCTGCCTCGGTCTCCCAAAGTGCTGGGATTACAGACATGAACCACTGTGCCCGTCCATAAGTTTGTATTTTATATGTATTATATATTAATTACTCCATGTTATCTCAGGACATACTTGCGAGTAAACATTCTATTCAGTCCTGATCACTTTACAATATACTTATTATGACCAGGCCTCAGATGAACTCCTCTGAAAAGTCATTGTTTTCACTGTGTGACCCATGGTCAAGACAGTCTTGTTACTCACAACCTTTGGAACTTTCCCTGTATGGCCCTGGAAGTGAAATTAAATGTGGGTTAGAGCATTTGATCCAGAAATGTTCGGTCCCCAAAATTTGATGATAGCTTGGAGTGCTCTCTTTTTCTCATATTTCACATCCAATTGATCAGGAAAGTCTCTTGACTCTACCTTTAAAATATATCCAGAGTCTGGCCCCTTTTCATTCCCTCCATTGCTACTACCCTGGCGAGGTCACCAACATCTATCTCCTGGATTACACTGCTTTCCAACTTGTCCCTCTGCTTTTACACTTGCTCCCTCACCGTACATTTTCATCATAGCAGGGAGAGTGATTTTTTTGAAGCATAAGTCAAATCTTCTCATTCCCCTGCTCAAAAATCTTATAACAAGGGTTTGAATCCCATCAATATGTTAAAAAGCCATGAGTTCATAATGATACTCAAAAACAGCAACCAAGAAGATCCTTATTGATGACATTTGTAGAATGCCAGGAAACCAACTTATATTTATGAAAATTTGTAAATAAAAGGGAAGAATCAAATATTTATTTTTGCCTTTCCTGTGCAAGCTGTACATAAAGATAGCCAATTGTTGATGAAATTTTATTTTTATAGGAATATTCTAGCTAATATATGAAGAAGGCAAGATAGAATGTGACTATCGTCATTCAAAAACTTCTAATTAAATAAAGAATTTATACAGTGATCATTAATGCCTTGTAAAAATCACAAAAAGGGAAATAACCAGATATCATGTACTTTGTTATGGGTACCACCTATGAAATATTCTTGCCAAACATTAAACCTGAATCTGATCAGGCCTCAGCAGCAATTTAGGACTTCATCATTGTGGATAGGCAATGAACCAAATGTATGACAAAAGACCCAGTTTCTTTAACAAATAATTTGAGAAAGGGGAGAAAGACAGAGAGACTGAGAGATAGAAACAGAGAGAGAGGTGATAAGTGAATATGTTTGCTGCTGTATGCTTGTATGCTATTGAATATGTTATATATACACAGATATATTTTCAAACTGCAATCATATTGTAAAAATATCTGTAACTTACTCTTTCAGTTAACATTTTACATCATTGCATGTTCAGAAATAATACTTAATTTTTTATTATTTTTTATTATTTATTATTTTTTATTTTTTTTATTTATCAAATTAATATGCTTTCCTTTAAAGACATTGTGGAAATTAAAGCTAAGGTCACCTGTTTACCAGAGCAAGAACTGATGGTTGAATCTCATTGAGCTGAAAGCTCAGGAAAGAATAAATAGGATTAGTTCAAAGTTTACCTTTTTCATATTCTCTAAAATATCTAAATAACAATTTCTGACTTTAATATAATTTATGCATTCGATTATTATTATAGTTAAAATTTGTCACAGGTCGGGCACGGTAGCTCATGCCTATAATCCCAGCACTTTAGGAGGTCGAGGAGGGTGGATCACCTGAGGTTGGGAGTTCAAGAGCAGCCTGACCAACACGGAGAAACCCTGTCTCTACTAAAAATACAAAATTAGAGTGGCATGGTGGCGCATGGCTGTAATATCAGCTACACTGGAGGCTAGGGCAGGCGAATCGCTTGAACCCAGAAAGTGGAGGCTGCAGTGAGCCGAGATCACAGCTTGGGTAACAAGAGCGAAACTCCGTCTCAAAAAAAAAAAAAAAAAAAAAAAAAAAAAAAAAAAAAAAAATCTGTCACAAGTTTAATCTACTAATAAAATTTCAAATTTTAATAAATCTTTCCAAAGTTTTGCTACTATAAACAATGCTGTGAAGAATAGGATTATATATACATTCTATTATTTGTTTACAGTTTTTCCTGCAATAATTCTACAAGTGGATTACTTTGGTCAAAACATGAATGCTTTCAAATTTAAGAGATTTTTAGAAGTGGCATTTAAAATATACATTTATACTTATCTGCATGTTAATCAAGAGTGAGTGAATGAGCTTATATTCTCACCAGTTCACCAACCATTTTGAAAATGTGTATATGTTGATAAAACAATTGCCCTTTTTAAAGTTTATATTTTGAAAAACATTCCCTCAATGTATATATTCATAATTAGTCAGGAGGATGGCGGGAAGAGAAGGATCTAGAATTTATTATCAGGGGAGTGGCTGAGATATCAGAGAGTAGTTGAAGGCTGAAAGAGACCTGACAGTCTCATAAACAAGAGGCAA